AAACTTGCATACATTGCACATTTTTATTTACTATAAGGTGTACTGATTTGCATTGTTTTATTTTAAATCTTCTGTTCATTATATTTTATTTATGTCCTGTGTTGTGTTTGAATGTATGTACCAGTATGCCAAGACAAATTTCTAGTACACGCAGGCAGGGGCGTTGCTAGAGATTTTGGGCCCCATGAAAGCATATAATATTAGGCCCCCCAGTCCAAACCAATCCAGTTATTTTCCTAATTTTTTAGGGCCCCTGTCACTCAGGGGCCCTTGGAATCGTCCTAGCTTTCCTCCCCCTTACGGCGCCCCTGCACGCAGGTGTACATGGCCAATAAAGTGAGTTCTGATTCTAGTAAGTTTTGGAAAACGTTTTTGATGAACCACATTTTTGATGCCTAAAAAGATGGAGATGGACAAGAAGTCAACATGGCAGGTTTTTCATTCTATGATATAATGAATTGTGAGTAAAGAGATTTCATGTCAGGCGGGATTTTCCAATTACAAATTCATAAATTTTACATTTTACTCCATTTACCCAAAACTGTTACCCAAGTAAATGGGAGCATAACTAACATTTCCGTTTTATTTGTTTTTTTGGTAAGTAAGACCTACAAAGAAATAAACTATAATAAGGTCTGAAACACTCCAGAAGCAATGCAGCTCTGTTTGCTTAGGATAATGGGAGGAGATAATATAGAACATTTTCAACTTCTTTTGCTTTTTTAAACCTAACTCAAGTAGGCATGCAACACTGATTAGGTGCATTCTTCTAATTTTTTTACATAAAAATAATAATGATGTGCGCAGGCCTGTTTTTGAAATACAAGAGAAACACAATCTCCATTTAAAGCTGAAAAAGGAGGAATTAGAGCAAAGGTAGGGGTCTGGATTTGGCCGATCCCTCGCTCTACCATGGCAACTGATCACCAGCGCCATGCTAATGTCACCTCAGCTAATGAAATCCAGCTCTCTCTTATTTAGGCTAATTACCCTCTTAGGCCTAAACAGGGTCAGCTGGGCACCTGAGGGGTAAAAAAAAACAAACAGATGAGGGAATTTTGGGGATGTTCTTCTAGAAAAGAGGTTACTGTGTCCATAGCCTTAGTTACAGGATCCTTTTTTTAATTAGGGGAGAAATAATGTTGGGGAAAGTCTGCTTACAATATGTTGAACATTCCTCTAAGAGAGACACTGGCCCAACTTTGCTTCAGTCCAGGTTCAGACCCCTGGCTGCACATGTTCTTATGCTCTACTCGCACAGCCGAGGCGGGGCAGGGGTTGTTCTGGGAATTGAACAGTGGCTGAGTCCACTCATGTATGTAATGTCTACATCAATAGAAATTATGGTGGCGCACGACCTTGGGTATAAAATCAATTAATATCACGGCTCAAGACAGCCACACCAAGAATGCACGGAGTGTCTCTCGAGAAGGCCAGCTGCCTTGTTTAGAGCTTTAATTAGGGTAAAATATGACAGATTATTATATTCATGCTCCACTCTAATCAGTCTCGAGGAGGAGGGGGTGCAGGCGATGTGGCTGCCTTGTAATGCTATTATTTTTCATGCCACTGCAATCTGGAAGCCATTGACAAAGCCCAGGGTACAGCAGATGGCGCTGGACTAACCTTGTTAAGGAGGACCAGACCCCGGGGAATGCATCTGACTGTGATCTGCTCTGGCATGGTGCCTGGGTACTGGGTCTAGGGCATTTAAACCTCTGGGACCGGGGATAAGGGGGGATCTGAGGGCTGGGGCCTATTCACATGAAATTTGGCGGCACCGATGTTGTGCCGCTGATTCCTGGCTCTTGAGTCCAGGGCTGGGTAGCAGAGCTAACTGGAGCTTTTCTAAAGGATGCACGTTAGCCAAGTGAAGACGGCTCGGAGTAAACACAATGCTATTTTCGGGATGTGCAAGGCCCTGAGAAGGACAGACGAAGGGGATGTGTTTACATGCTATTCATAACCTTGTTATGGATGGAGCTCCTACAGTAGATGTTATCTGCCTAAAGGGTCAGCTTGACCCCTCTTGCTCTTGACCTACACTACTGCTGAGGATCCCACAGTATTTCTCAGAGGTTCAACAATTCTGGTGATTCATGCTGATTCGTAGTTTCTGAATTCCATAGTAAACACTTAGTTTAACCTTTGCCCACATTGGTAACGTTCCATGTTGCAGTCAATATTAATGCTCAGAAGAATTCCAAGTTCTTTTTGACCCACCTTAAAAAGACTGGGTGTGATAATTTGATTCGACTGGTCTGTCTCATGTTAAACAGGTTTCATGGATTTGTCTCCTGCCTAATTACCTCATTGTCTCAGTTTTTCGTTCTGATTAGGTCCAGGATAAACACAAGCATACCTTCATGAAGATTCCCGATCGATTTATTTAACAAAAGCCTCTTAAAGGCTGTATTTTAGGCCGGGAGACTTCTTGCCCTTTTGTCCTATTTTGCACTTATTGCTCAGTATAGCAAGTCCTTTTATTTTTAATTTTTTTATCTGTCAGTATATCAAGCTTACTCTCTTTTTCAGATTAACACATACCGTGTTGATAGACTTAAAAGTCATGAAGCTCTTGTAATGTGTGAAGGTCTTTGACACGATACAAAAAGCTGTGAGAATTCTGTGTGTATTTTATCCCTTTAACAGTTTTCTGCATCGTTTATTGTGTTTTAAAATAACGTTCGTCACTTCGGTTGATGAGGTGTTGTAGTCTGGAAAACAATGAGGCATGTACGGTGGCAAACTTAATCCATCAATCTTCCAATTCTGCCTTACAAAAGCAAATCACAGTAAACTACGCTGACAAAGGGAATGAGACAAGAGGCTTCAGAGTTTTTTTGACCGTCCACTTGTATGTGTAGTAGGTAGGGAAATGATAGCATTTCCTTCGAAACTGAGCATACATGAAGAAAAATATTTTGTCAAGAGACAATACGGAGCCTAGGAGACCCAATATCGCATGACTCAATTTTGACAAAATAAGCAGTTATGGTGTTTTGCCTTTGCTCACCAGAATTGCTATTCTTGGATGGGGTTACAAGTCGGGGCTGGAGCGTGTCCCAGGCAGCACAGGGAAGGAAGCTGGGGTACACCCTGTTTCGGATGCCAGCCATTGCAGGGTGCACACACACACTATGGGATGCCAATTCACCTACTGCAGGAGGGATGAAGCCCACACAATATGGGAGGACATGAAAGCACCAGACATACACAGAGCAGATCAGGAGTGGGACTCAAACCCCTGAAGGTATGAGGCAAGAACGCTACCCACTAAGCTACCGTAGCAGTTGTCATTTTAGCACTCATATGCATACTATTGGTGGAGGCTATCTGCTTTATAGAGATATTGTTAAGCTACCCGCACCCCAGATGCTGTATCGAGATTCTGGCACATTCCCAAAACCTAATTTCATGCGACAGTCCACCCATTTCATTTTCATGTTACTGCAATGCATTTAAACTGAGCATGGACGGCGTTTGAATTACAAAAATCTGACATCAGAGAGCAAGGCACTTGTTCCTTCTGGACTAATAGACATATCTAATGTCTAATGATTTGTCTGAACTGGGGAGGGAACGGACAGCAGAATTTCACCTTCGCTTGGAAATTGAAATGAAATTGTTTTAATAACTAGATAGTATTTACCCAGGTAGTAATTTAGACCTGATGATTCTTATTTCATTTTTGTTGTTATTAGAGAGTTATTTCTGATACAGGAGGAAAGTAAAATTTAATTTAATTTATGCATCTTACTCTCATTTTATATCTGTGATGATTATTATACCAAAATTCTGTTCCAATATAAATGCCATGCTACAGGAGCGTTCCTCGGGGATCACAATTCTGTGAGAATCACATGAGGTGTAAGCCCCGATACTGACATCACGCCGAAAACATTTTCATTTACAGCAAATAGATGAAGTAACAAAATTTTGCATCTTTTGCCCGAACGTCGTCTTAAAGTTTTGGTAACGATAGGCTGGCTTCACTGAGCGTGCGGCTTGTCAACAGCTTGTGCCACAGACACCCTGTTTACATGTTTTTCCCTTTTACGTAACGTTACACTCGTCGCCCTGTTTCTGGTAGTATGTGCTTATGGAATAACACACATATGGTGTCACAGTTGGAATGTAGCACGTCGCCTGTGTTTTGATTTTGCTTTTAAAGGTATATTGCAGTCATTCATGAAATGAATGAAAAAACAAAGAATAAAGAAGATGAAATCTGTCACATCCATCTTCCATGAGCGCTGATGCAATGCTTTGTCACGATCAGCCTGGAGCCTATCCCAGGAAGCGCAGGGCATAAGGCAGGGGCCACCCCGGATGGGATGCCAGTACATTCACACACTGTGCGATTTAGAGACGCCTATTCGCCTGGTCACATGTTTTTGGTGTGATCAGGAGAGCATGCGAAATCCCCCAGGATAAGCTGCGGATGGGAATCAAACCCACCGCCATGGAGGTGTGAGGCCAAGGCACTAACCAGTCACTCCTCATGTTCTCCGCGTCTGTTATTTTGGAGGTTTTCTGAGGTCTCAGAATGGAAGAGTACAATGTGGTATGGTTTTGTGACCTGTGAACTTGTTTCAGCATAGATAGGAGAGGCCAGGGACATTTTTTGTAAGGGGTCAGTTGTTGATCAGTCTTTTAACACATTTCACCTATTGACCCCAACTACAAGTTCCTCCACATCTACTAACATAAGGCTCCTACCAACAACTGTGATGCTTGTGAAACGTCATACTAATAGTGCACTGATTAATTAGCAAATAGATAGCAAATTTGATTTAACAATTGTGCAACTTAAAATGAAGTCGCTGATTGATATTATATAAACTGGTTTACAATGATAACAATTCATGACTGATTTATTCTAAACTTTTATTTTAGAATTTAGAATTCTGACCGTAGAGGAAAGAAGAAGACATTATGTCAACACGTCAATATAGATGGTAAAAGAAGCTAGAAGGTTGTCAGAGCGACATGGGTACCTCTCCAGGGATGGCACTCTCACAGAGTAAGGTCTCGTACTCTATGGCGAACATGGGCGCGTTGTCGTTGACGTCCATCACTGTGACCAGGGCAATGCCTTTCCCAACTTGAGATGGATCGTCTACAGATGGAGACAGAGCGAGAGAGAGTGCGTAGGTGAGAATATGCACAACGACAAAAAGTGAAACAGAATTGAGCCATCTTCCCCGAAAGCTTTGTACAGATGCCGCGGTTTTCCAAGCGTGGAAGCACGCTAATTAAGATCATAGAGAGGAGAGCGCCGGGAACTGCTTTCGGAACGACCGCCTCCCCGCCATTCGCGCTTCTCTGGCTCGTCGTTCTGTTTACAGCGCTTCTACAAAGGATATCCGCCCGGCACCGGGTCACGGGAGTCACTGCCTCACGTAAAGCGTTTATTCTTTACTTCATTAAAACGAGAAAACGAAGGAAAACTTTTCCATTCGCACGCTTCAGGACTACACAGCTTGCGCACGGCTTGTCAACTTTTTTTTATCTTCTGAAGAAAAAAAGCATCTTTCTGGATGGCTTTCGACTTGTAAAACGTTCATGAAACAATTTCGCCAGATTTACTCACAGACCATCTGGAACATGCAACCTCACGCAGCATTACCTTTATCAGCGCTGTCCATGTATGTGTTTAAGTACTTCAGTTTTTACATGGTTTACTTGTCAGTGCAGTTAGACTGTTATAAACAACTTAACTCTTATTATAACTGAAAGTGTTACAGTATGATTTTTCCGCACCACTATGCAACTGCAAGGACTTTTACTTATTGGCAGTAAGACGCCTTATGGGGCCATAAGATTTACCATAGATACTGTATATGGTATGTAACTTCCCTGTACATCAGCAATGAAAATATCTACTGTACCCTCTGGACTTGCCCTGTCCCATAGTTCTTGCTGAACTGGAAGCTTCTGTCATCTCAATACCTCCCATGAGTGGCAGTCAGTTGACCAGGTCTTATTCCATTAACCAAATCAGAACTACAAATCAGCTACAAACAGTACAGATAGGCCTACTTTCTTTCTCCGCCAGGAATGTACAATGCTACCACAGCGGCCATTTTGCATTGTATGAACCATATCGTTTTTCATAGTTCTCTTATTTATTCTTAATACCTATATTTTTATTTTATTACTGATTTTCATTTCACTTTAAATATTTATTGTCTTTTTATTCACGTTATCCTTTGGTGTATTTATTTCTACGTATATATTTGTGTTGTATTTCTTTCTGCACTGTCTGTTGCTTTGCCTTCAGTGTAACACATTTTTTCTGTGTACTTCAGTTGATTCACACAAAACAGATCCATCCAGTGTTGTAAAGAGTGCTTAAAGTAAAAGGCTCCCAATTACAGAGTTGTGAGGGGGAAAGCACAAGTGAGCCATAGTTGATTCTTTACCGTTCACTGGCACTGACTGTGATTTGGTTTGAAAATAGACCGCTCACATCTGCCAGGGAGTCTCTCACACCTGCTGTCGACTCAGCAGGGCGAGAGAAGAAGAGGCGGAGTTAATGTGGCAGTTAATTAGAATTGTTTTTCCTTTGCAGCCAGGGAGAAGGCAGGAGGTATGCGGCGTCTACGGCAACAGCTACGGGGGTCTCTTCGCAGCTCTGGGGGGTGATACCGGAGTCCGGTGTGTGTATCGGGGGAGACGCACTTCGCCTGTTTCAGAAGTTTGTCCGAGACCTAAAAGTACAACATCAAACTGGGTGTGCATAAAGACAGCGGAGATATTCTGGGCAACCGCTGCGTGCAACTTTTCTTGTTTTCTTCGCTTTTTTCCTACATTTTGTTTTTTTTTTGTTGTGCGTGAATTAACTTCTGCTTCGTCTCATTTTAACCCACTGCTTCACACCCTGCTGATCCATGCATAGCATAGTGGCACCATGCGCTTTTAAAAGAAACATTTTAATTTACAGTTCTCTTGTTAGCTGCAACACACCTTCATCAGTGTCTGTAACGTGCTATTTACGTCACTTGTGTGCTTGGACAAAAGCATCTGATAAATAAAGTCATTTTATATTAATTGTAGTTCCTTGGCTAACATGCTATGTTGATACAATCTGGTTATACTGGGCCACACCCTTCTCAGTCCATGCTGTATATTTTAAAACAGGAAGCTTTCGGTTCATCATATCTGCAGTCTAATTGGTTGATGAAGAGCAGAAGACTAGACAGACAGCCATTTCGTGCAGCACTCCACCGAAAATGTCACAACTCACTAATGACTATGGAAACCTATGCCGCCCATCCTGCATGCCTGAAACAATGCATCTCTTTTTTCCTACAACAGGAGGCGTGACGGTTAAGACAGCCAGTTCACGTATCAAAAAGTAACTAATTAAAATGTCATTTAAAGTTAAGCCTGGGGTGTGACTGTATCCTGAGTCTTGCTGCATGAATTCATTAACGGTAAGACAGCAGCGTGAAAACGCCGGCCCGGAGACAGCCGCCTTTGAAGCTAGCGGTGGCCCCATGGGGAACTATGTGTAGCCCGTGAAGACTGCTACAGTCATATTAAGCTCTGAATATTAATGTGCGATAGCTGTTTGAAGATATCCAAAGTGCCCTATGCTGTCTTATGCAGCATAAGACCTCTGCTTGCACTATGTTGACATTGTCATAGAAGGATGATAATAGTCATACGGTCAGCTTTTCATGTATTCAACAGCAATACTGTGTGTAAGAAAAATTATTGTAATGTAGCCATTCATCCAGCCATCGATCCTTCCATCTACAGTATTTTCTGATCACTTACCCTCCTGTGTATAAATTGGGGGGTGGTATATTTAAAAAAATGTAATTGCTGTTTATTATCTACGATTCTTTCAAATTGACTTACTTCCTGATTACATATAGGCACATTGTTGACTATAACAAGTATTGTTCTTTTCATTTGGATACATTTCTGGAACCTACAGTTACACTGATGTGAGAGAGAAAGTGCAGCCCCTTTGATTCTTTCAAACTTCTCTACCTCTTTCAGGCCAGATGTGCTTGGGCTTCTTCAGATCTAACCTTGCAAACCTTTGCTGTGCAGCCATGTTCCCATTTGTAGAGAATGGATGTTCTCCAAACTACCCTTCCATGAAAGCCATACTTGCTCAGCCTTTTTTTTCCAATTGCAGAGCTATGAACTTTAGCATTTAACAGGTCAGTGGATCCCTATATGTAGCTCTCAGGTTCTCTATCATTCCCCTGAACACTACATAGTCTGAACTGGGGCTGAGTTTTCTGGAATACCCTGGGCAAGGGTCTGAAAGACTGGCAAGGGTCTGAACTACCCTCCATCTGTAAATAATCCTACTCGCTGTGGAAAAAGGATTTCAGATTGTTTGAAAATGGCCTTATAACCCTTCCCAGATTGATTAGCAGCAACAGTTACTTCTCTGAGATCATTGTTGATGTCTTTCCTCCTTGGTATGGTGTTAATAACTGAAACCTGGATACTGCAAATCACCAACCTGCCAATAGTCCTGCTTTAATGGAAGTGGTGATGAACATTTTCTAATTAACCGCTTAATTTTTAGCTGTAAAGATATACTTCCTTTTTCCCCACACGTCATCTGCATTTTTACTCACTACTGTATTTGTTGAATAAAGAAAGAAATAGTAGGAATTGTCGGTTTATTTTTTTGTTTGTTTAAGTCTAATCTGCTGATTCTGATCCTGACCAATTCCAATTGTGTTAGTTTACTTTTAATGAGCAAACTAAACTTTTTTTTTTTTTTAACACTTCTTTACTGAACCTAGCTTTGCAATCAAAATGTTTGAAATAACCTTTTCAAATAAAAACGTGTCAAATTAAATTGGCCATTCCAAATGTTTTGGGGGTACTTCTTCCACGGACACATTTTTGTTCACATGTCTTACTTGGTGCTAATTAAACCTCACACAGCAAAGAATCTCATGTGGACTCTGGATGGAAACTGAGTTGGGACTAGGGGTGGGCAATATGGCTAAAATATCGCAATATAGATCGCAATTTCTTTATTTCTAATCCATGCATGGAGCAGAAATATAAAGTACAGATATTTTATGGGTTCCACTGAAATAAAGGTATTTGATTATGAGAAAGACCTCGGTGTGTATGTTGATGCTTCCATGTCCCACTCTCGCCAGTGTGGGGAAGCAATAAAAAAGGCCAGTAGGATGTTGGGTTACATCTCTGGGTTTGTGGAGTTTAAGTCAAGGGAGGTGATGTTACATTTATATAATTCCTTGGTGAGATCCCACCTAGAATATTGTGTGCAGGTTTGGTCACCAAACCTTAAAAAGAACTTAGAAAGGGTTCAATGAAGGGAAAGAATGGTTCCTGATCTTAGAGGAATGTCTTATGAGGATAAGTTAGCTGAGCTGAATCTGTTCAACTTTGAGCAGGGGAGACATAATCCAGGTATATAAGATTCTAACAGGTCTGGATGCTGTTCAATCAAATAGTTACTTCAATATTAGTTCCAATACAAGAACTCTGGCTATAGGTGGAAATTATCGGGAGAACATTTTAAACTGGATTTGAGAAAAGCACTTCTTTATACAGCCTGTAGTTAGAGTATGGAATAGTCTTCCTGTTAGTGTAGTGCAAGCTAAAACCTTGGGTTCCTTTAAATCAGAGCTAGATAAGATTTTAATAACTCTGAGCTATTAATTGAGTTCTCCCCAAACAAGCTTGATGGGCCGAATGGCCTCCTCTCTTTTGTAAATTCCTTATTTTCTTACATACAGGCATCGCTGAGATGATAGTGTTACGCAGGGGATACCCTAGTTTCTTAATTGTGCTTTATGTCATGGTTTTAGTTAATTCAGTATTTTTCCCTGTTTGTTTCCTGACCCCTTGTGGTTCTTTTGTTTCGTAGTTTTACCCTGTGTTTCCAGTTTCTTTATTGAATCCCAGTTTGTCTCAGAACCGCAAGTGGATTAACACCCTCCCTTACCTGCCTGCACCATGCCTTGCATCCGTAACAATTGATAGTGATTAAAAGAGAGTATGATTGTGCATGTAAGAGGATATAGTAGTGTTTGTGTAAGAGTATAGTGCTGTACGTGTGAGATTATGATGCTGTGTGTGAGACAATCATCCAGCATCAGTAGA